GCGCAAACAAATGAAGAACCGACAACACAGATGACGATTACGCCCAACCGGGCTCCGAATCTACTTTCGCGCAATGCCACCGTAATGGAGGCGATGAGATCAATGCCAACCTTGCAGGAGTCAGCCTCGCCGAGTCGCAGCCGAAGTCTCATGCTTCCATAACAGGGCTCAACCCATACACGTACCCCGGATGACAGCATGCACGGCACGGTACGACCTGCGTACCACCGTGCTCGTGCAACCCAGCCTCATCGCTATGCGACGACAGCCTTCCAACACAATACCTCACAGCTTGCATGAGGATTCCGCTCGATCACGCTTGGAGCCGGCTTTGGCATGACCCTTCAGCGTGAACCGACCTGCAAAACGACGCAAGCCACAATTCTACTTGCACGCGTTTGACTTTGTGACAGCTTTGCAGCAGTGAATTTGGACAGAGACTACGGGCGGGGATCTCCGCGGTCAACAGGCACTACTTTTACGGGACACTGAACGGATGCAGCTTACTGCAGCATATCGGCAGACTGGCCACCGTTTCTTGATGCAACATATTACACAACGATAGTCTCTGGCGGAATGCAGGATGATTATCGTTGACCGCCTCACCGCATTGTTGACAACGAATCGTCAAGGAACACGCTCACGCCAGGGCGATGTTATCACGCTGTTTTACCCGTGCACTGGATTGTTCTGGCAAAGCGAAAGGTATGTGATCAAGCCACTGACACCTTTTAAAGCTGGGAGTGTGACAGAAATGGACAATCGCGCTTGTATGAATCTGATATGCATCACCCTTTACTCAAGACGTCGACGCCAGATGACTCGGAGTTGAGACTATTGCGTACGCATCGCACATCCCACCTCCGTGTCCTGCAAGCAAATCTGTTTTCACATCTAGAGTCTTCTATGCATAGAACGCTCGATACAGCATCGTGTCCATGTCCTGTGTGGATTTCAACAGCACGGGGAAGCACATTAAAGAGGCGCAATACCTTGGGCAGCATATGGCAAGCCGAAGACGGAGACGCGGGTCCCTTCCGAAAAAGATTCGTCATCGTGTTGGCAAGACCCAAACAAGAAGGATCACATGTCGTCTGCCACCTTTGTCTCATGCTTGAGGAGCTCTGATGACCGCATTTATCCGTTGTGTCAGAACGACTCACATCCGAAAGAACCCTTCGTATGTGAGAAAGAGTTGGCGGCAGATACATATCGTCTTTTGAATTGTCGATCGGAACATGGCGTCACGAATGCATTGTCGATCAAGTCCCACTATTTCCTCAAATAGTACTCTGTACACGGTTACACGGTACATATCTACGACAATAAAAGAGAGGTCGTGATATGACTGCGTCTCGAAACCGATGCAAACCATGTTGCATCGAGAGGCGGATGAACCGGAACGAGTCAGAGTCTTGGGCTTCATTAGCAAGGACCTGGTGACCGTGCACGATGATCTCCTCATGTTTGGAATGCTCGAAGCGAAACTTTATCATCGTGCCGTCGAATCATGATGAGTTTCAAGCATCCGGAGTTGAGAAGATGCATCAGCCTTGTTCAAAACTGCAACAGATTCATTGCAATTGACGAATGGGACCAGCAGTATTTCCTCCAGACGAGCGGTATCCAAGATCTGGTTCAGCTACATAATTCTACGAGCGCCAGCCGGTGGCTTAGCTTCCGCTCTGGCCTGACCAGTTTCTCGGGTCTCATACCTCATAGTGATCATAGCTGCGGTCTAGCGCAGCCCCATAGCATTTGATACGATGCACTTGACGTCGCCACGAGTGGTACCCAATCGGCACAGGCACATGGTTGATGTCCATGCCGGTAGCCTAGCGAGCTTGATCAGCGCATCACACCGTCCAGTAACAGTTGAACCGACATATCGGACACATTCTACGCCACAAAAAGCTTCCACGAGTATGGCCATAGCGTCCTAGTCATAGAGCATGCATTCGATTGCATTGGTTGTAACTCCTGCCGCCGGAAATGGCGAAAACCCGCTTCCATCCACTGTCCTTTCTGCATGCCTGCCAATACGATTCACAAAGCTCGAATGCCTACTAACCAACGTCCCCCATAATGCTCGGAAACCAACGAAAACGTCAATACCAACGTCATAATAGCTCATACCGGCAGTACCCTGTCACATGAGCCGAGATGCAAGGACGTTGAGCTAACCGCAAAGCAGTGAACGTGGGAGCCCTGACTTTTAGACGTTCGGTACCAGTCGATGGCTTCAGCTTTCGAGTCCCCATTCAAACCCCCACCAATCGTCGAATGCATCTCTGGATCTCATTGTCTCGGCATCGGCAAGAAAATCCACAATACAGACCGGGTTTGTGCTGACTGTCTTCAACGACACGATCCACAGCAACTGCGCGTGTGGACTAACCCAAACACTGCTGCCTCACTACTTGTCGACGAAGAAGCTACTCGCAAACAAGTCTTGAAACGCAACATCGAAGCTCGCGGTCGTTATCTCTGTGCCTTTGAAGATCCGGATTTTCAACACTGTAGGTGGCGACTATACGACTTGAATCTTCGCGGCACACGACTGGACTGTCCATCTGTCCGCAAAAAAGGTGCTGCCTGTTCCAGGTGCTGGAGAAGACGTCTACGGAAGATCAGAATCGCACAGTACTTCACGCCGACTGGGCTATGTCATGAAGAAGCGAACAAGTTGGTGATAAGGTCGGCAGGTTCGGAGGAGGGTAGTGAGGGGTCAGACGATGACGTGGAAGGCTACAACACAATAACGAGTTGAAGCTGCACCAGGGAAAGAACTGGTGAGTTGAATCCTGCAGAGTACCGGCGTCGCTAACGCATAAAGTGTACTGCTATACAGCCTGCTTGTCATGCTAGCACCACCTCCAAAGCCTCACTGCGCGTTCGGTACTGCTTGCGGCTCACGTCCGGGAGGACAAGATCAAGGACCAGATATATGTTCTTGGTGTAAGAACATGAGCTTCGATGCCTTGTATAAGCAAGCCGAAGCACACTCGAACACACGATTGCTCAAGCATCTTATCGACATGTACATGCACCAGCTTGAGCGCGACAGCTCCGAACGCATCAGAAAAGGCTGGGCCTGTCTTTGCGCCTGTAAAGACCCAGAGTATCGCTTCTCAGCATGGCGTTGCGACTTCAATCCCCAGGACTCCCGCCTCTGCGGTACTGTGCGCCATCGTGGCCAGCTATGCGCGCGATGCTACCGCAAAGCACAAGAGCAGGCCTCCCCATGGCTTGTCGAATTCGACGGCGACCGATTTGGGTTTCCATGCGTGTTTGAAGACCCACGACTAAGAAGGCCCGTTGACAGCAATTGGAAGATCGGACCTAGGAACCAGCATGGCGAGCCCGACCCAAGCTGGGAAAAGGACCCAAGGAGAGACGGACGCTGCGAAAGAACAAGATTCAAAAACCAGCTTTGCCAAAGATGTTTTAATCGCATGTGCGAGATTCGTGGGTTCGGCCGGTACTTCGATACGGAGTGGGGCATACTCCGTGGCAACTACGGTGTATGATCGAGACACCGCCATCAACGGCATGATTTGGATGCCATGATCTATTGGTCACTTCTGCTACGTTAACCCTAGACCATCGACCAGGCTACGCTCCTGTCCCCGACCCAACGCATACGCTCATCGACTACGAAGGACCACGATCATCTCCGGACACGCGGCTTCATTGGACACGCAAGCAGCTTTCCACAAGCTCACTGCCCCGTCATAGGGACAGCTAAAGACATGGGCGCTCGAGAGCTCTGCCGCGATAACTCCAGAAGGCATGCAGACGAAGCCAGGAAGAGAAAAAACAAATTGGGCGGGGAAGCCTACTTCGTATGTATGATTAGCGCCGAGGAAAAAGCATTGGTGACTAGACGCACATCCGTAGCTTCCATACTTTCCAGAATGGGCCTAACGGCAATTTGTGGCGCACAACAGCATTCATTTCAACAGGACTACCTGGTTCTTGTTGTAACAGCAATAGAAGCTCTGGATGCGCAGCAGGTCCCGTTGAGCGACTAATCATCTCATCGCTCTGGGGGCAGCGTGCAACTACCCGGATGGGTCAAAGTTCGAAAGAACAACTTCCTCGAAGAAAGGCTAGTGGCAAGTTCTAGACTTGCATACGTATTGCAGAGCAGAGAGCTGCGCCCGGAAACTTCCATGCCGCTCACATAGGGGAGTCCCAGTAGTTGGCTTGGGACGTCGCCGAACTGACGAATATGGGATGAGACTGACGTGGCGATATCGGAAGATCTGTTTCGGAGATTCAGGGTTCTTTTTGCAGTTATGAAATCAGCCAGTAAGCATAGGGCAGGGCTGTTGGAGGGCTGATGGGATGTGATGGAATGGGAGGGGAGATGTGTCTGGTGGTGACAGGACCGCATGTATAGCCCTGGTAGGGCTAACGACATCAGTAGCAATGACTTTTACCAGCCCGATAAGCAGGCAGTAACTACAGCTACAAACCGCTTCGTGTTTGCGATGGCTCTCATCTCGAAGCGGCTTGCGTACGGATGTCATTTAGATTGCCGAAGGGGTTGTCATGTTGTCATCGCGAACCGTGGTAGTTAGCAACAACCCTGAAAGCTAGCCCGCTGTATATCTATACAAATATAGGCAGTATCTCAACACCATGTTCCGTGTCACATCCTGCACCCTTCTTTTTGCCTGCTTTGAGATGAAAGACATTCTACCTGACCGGATTGCGAGAGGGGTAAACTAATTAGCCGCTTGTACGAGGGGACCACTATCTAAAGTGTGGCAGTGTGTCAGACAATTAAATCTCACTGTGGCCTCTCCGCCAGACCTTCTTGCCTCTCGTCTTTGACAATCGCCACGATCTTTCTAACAACTCATTATCCAGACATGATACAGATCCAACGCGAGCATGAATTAGATCAAGGGAGATTCGAAAGCGATCCCATTCGGAACTTGGGCAAGCCTTTATTTCTCATCAGGAAGAAGGACAACAAACAGCTTTACGCGATGCGAAGAGTCAAACGAACGGAAGTTTTCGTTTTATCCCCCATGGCAAAGTACATTTACCATCCATTCATCGCCCGTCTCGCATTCACCAAAGAGATCCCCAATAACCTGTACCTTTACTCTCCTTTCATTAGCGGTGGACACCTATTAAACCATGTACAGAAAGTCCGGCAATTTGATGCCGACACGAGCAGACTCTATGCCGCCGAGATCGTTTGCGCCTTGGAGTACCTGCATTCTCTGGACGTGTGCTGTTGGCTCAAAGCGGGAAACATTATGCTTGACTCGTCGGGTCACATCACACTATGTGGCTTTGGACTCTTTCGACAACGTGACGGCATGCATACAGACTGGAAAAGGCCAGAGTATCCTGCACCAGAGGTACTCACAGATGACAAGTACAGCAAGGCCGCTGATTGGTGGACGCTCGGTGTAGTCCTATATGAGATGCTGACGGGCTTGCCGCCGTTCTATAGTAACGTGTTGGGAAACATCCGCGACAACATCATTTCAAAGCCGCTGCACCTTCCCAGGTCAATGCACGCAAACGCCAAGAACATTATATCTCGTCTACTTGATCGGAATCCTGATCAACGATTGGGTGCCAATATCAACGGAGCGTCTGAGGTGAGACAGCATGCCTTTTTCAAGAATCTCGATTGGCAGGAGGTAATCGAGCGAAAGACGGAACCCTCGTTCGGACCTGGCCATCATGCGGGAGCTTTTGAATCTTATGGCGTCGATTATCCCCACACTGTCGGACTTGGACAACTTGAGGAACCACCCAACACTGAAATGGTCTTGGGCTTTGGTGCACATAGTGTTTCCGAGCCTGGAATCAACGCGATAGATGTAAGAACAGGAGCCAGCATGTTTGGAAGCATCGAAGAGAACGCCAATACACCTATAGTCACGGACGAGAATATGAATCTCGGCACAGTCGAACAATTACGCACGGCACTTGAAGTTGCGTTGCAGTCCGACCAGCAAGACAGAGTTGCACTCCTCCTCGGATTGAAGATAGATCTCGACACACCCATCTTCCAGCATACGAGCCAACGCTCAAACATGCTCACATGGGTTATCAGCCACGGGAGCCTCGGCATGCTCATACTCATTCTGTCAAAAGCAGACGTCAAGAGTAGACATCGTGTGAGCGCAACACGTGCACTCAGCCTAGCGACCAAGATGCGAAACATCCCAGCCGCGAACATCTTGCTCGAACATGGCACGCGCTGTGACTTCGAAGACGGGGACATTCCCATTCCCGCTGACGTCGACGACCCCGATGGTGACACATTTGATGATCCTTTGGTACTAGGACAGTTTACACCAGCGCTCGTGTATGCAGCGTTAAATCATGATTTCGCAATGGCCCGAATATTACTCACTCACGGAGCGAACCCGGATCTTGGTTACCACTGCGTTCGTTCTGGGATGCGGAGCGCCTTCTCTTGCGGAAGAATTATCGAACTCGTGATGGATCTTCGGTTCGTCGAAATGGCGCAATTGCTGCTCGATCACAGCGCGGACATAGGGCTTGCATCACCGGTTTGGTATGCGCAGGGGCATGAGTGTGAGTTCGTTCCAAGGTCGGTGTATCAGAGGGTGACGGCAGCACTGCGAGCAATCCGGTCGAAAAGCCTAGAGGAGTGAATAAGCTCCTTATGTCCGCAATATCTCTCATTCGAGAGCGTCTTTGCGTACGTGTAAGTACGTGTTACGGATTTCACAAGTGGCTCGTCGCTTCTGCATCATCGCAGTACCATGGGGTGAAGTGGATGCAGTGGATGACAACCACAGAGGGGTGTGAATAAGGTACCCATATGGATTCGTGAAAGGAACTTGGTAGTTTGTTCTAGACTGCGAAGTTCCTTTATAAGATCTCGATTGATATAAGTGCCTGTAATATATTGATCATGGAGCATCTGACTTTAGAATCCAACAGCGCGATGGCGCAGAAAGAACTTTCCTGTCATGTATCTCCCAAAACGCCTGACGCAATTTGGCATGAGAAGACGGAGAAGACGGATACTGTGTGCGATCGCTGCAGGTCGGTCATGGGCGCAGATTTGTTTTCATGGTGTTTCAACGACGACGGGGTACGGTTAAAGAAGCTGGTGCTGGGGAAAATGAGGCCTTTGGAAATAGGCCGGTGGATATTGGCTAATGTCAGTGGGGCCAGGTGTAGCTGCCCTGCTATGCTGCCATGTACACTGGACTGTGTCTTGTCAGAAGTTCAAAAAGGTCAATAAAATGGGGTTCAACGGTTTGATGATCGGATTGGGGTCGCGATGACGTGTATGAGAAGAAAATAAGGTGGAGTCTGGTAAGACTGGCTTCTAGAAGAAGTGATGTTCGCCCGCCTTCCCCGAACGAGCGACTAAGCCGGAGGAGGGGCATTACGCCGCCTTCGGCCTTCAATAAATTGCGGACACAAGACTCATACCAAACCCCGATTTCTCCGCGAGCCCCTACGACTGTGCATACCGTGACTCACAGTTGCTCTCATCTATAAGGAAGTCAGTTGCTGGCTTTGACCTCTTGTCACACACTTCAACCTTTCGATTCGGTTTTCGGCATCATGGACGGCATTAAGAAGACGTTTGCGCAATGCAAGAAGGAGGGCAGGGTACGATGTGCAACCACCAGAAGAGAGATGTAGAGCTAATATGTGTGCAGTCTGCTCTTGTCACGTATGTGACTGCAGGTTTCCCTACCGCAGAGGAGACGCCTGACATCATGATGGCCATGGAGGCGGGAGGCGCTGGTATGTGCAGCGAGCAATTGCTATGCCAGATGGCACGACAGCAGTCAATTGACACGTCTAGACATCATTGAACTCGGCATGCCCTTCACCGACCCCATCGCAGACGGCCCAGCAATCCAGACCGCGAACACAGTACGTTGACCCATTCGCCACAATGCGTTCGAAACTGTTCCTGACACCATGTGTCTATAGCAAGCCCTCAAGAACGGCGTCAACATTGGCAGCGTTCTCCAGATGATCCGCGATGCGAGGAAGCGGGGTCTCAAGGCACCCGTCCTTCTTATGGGATACTACAACCCCCTGCTCAGCTACGGCGAGGAGAAGATGCTGCAGGACGCAAAGGAGGCCGGAGCCAACGGCTTCATCATGGTCGACCTGCCACCCGAGGAGGCTCTGCGCTTCAGGAACTTCTGCCGCAGCTACGGGTAAGCCTGCTGTCTCGACGAGCATGGAACGAAGACTAACGAGACAGTCTCTCCTACGTTCCTCTTATCGCACCCGCTACGTCCGAGCACCGCATGCGCGTCCTCTGCAAGATCGCCGATTCCTTCATCTACGTCGTGTCTCGCATGGGCGTCACTGGCGCCTCCGGTACCATGAACGCCGCTCTTCCCCAGCTGCTCGAGCGCGTCCACAAATACTCTGGCAACGTCCCGGCTGCCGTCGGTTTTGGTGTCAGCACACGCGACCACTACCTGAGTGTAGGCAAGATTGCTGAGGGTGTCGTCATCGGTAGCCAGATTATCAACACATTGCTCAAGGCTGAACCAGGAACGGGCGCAAAGGCAGTCGAGAAGTACTGCGACGAGATCTGCGGCAAGAGCACCCGCGGTGCGCCTCGGGAGGTCGGTATCATCGAGACATTGAACGAGGCCAAGGAGCCCACCAACGTGCATGTCGACAAGGTTATTACCGACAAGGACACACCGGACGGTCCTGGCCTGGCTGATCAGCTGGAGATGCTCAACACTGATGATGCTAACGGCACCAACGGTACACACGAGCAGAATGGATTTGACGAAAAGCACAAGTTCCCCGCACGATTCGGCGAATTCGGTGGTCAATACGTTCCTGAATCGCTTATGGACTGTCTCTCTGAGCTCGAGGAAGGTTTCAATGCAGCCATCGAAGATCCCAAGTTCTGGGAAGAATACCGTTCTTACTACGACTGGATGGGTAGACCAGGTCATCTGCATCTTGCGGAGCGCCTTACCGAGCACGCCGGGGGCGCCAATATCTGGTTGAAGCGAGAGGACTTGAATCACACTGGAAGTCACAAGATCAACAACGCACTCGGACAGGTGCTCATTGCCAGGAGACTTGGAAAGACTGAGATTATTGCCGAGACTGGAGCTGGTCAGCACGGTGTTGCAACGGCCACGGTATGCGCCAAGTTCAACATGAAGTGCACCATCTACATGGGAGCTGAGGATGTCAGGCGCCAAGCCTTGAACGTGTTCCGCATCAAGTTGCTTGGTGCGCAGGTTGTTGCTGTCAAGGCTGGTGCTCAAACCCTGCGTGATGCAGTCAACGAGGCAATGCGCGCCTGGGTCGTCCACCTCGACACGACTCACTACATTATCGGATCTGCCATCGGCCCTCATCCTTTCCCCACCATTGTCCGCACTTTCCAGTCCATCATCGGAAACGAGACCAAGGAGCAGATGCAGGCGAAGCGTGGTAAGCTTCCCGATGCCGTAGTCGCCTGTGTTGGTGGTGGCAGCAACGCCGCAGGAATGTTTTACCCCTTCTCCAAGGACCTTTCTGTCAAGCTTCTTGGTGTCGAAGCTGGTGGTGATGGTGTCGACACCGACCGCCACAGCGCGACTCTCTCAGCTGGAAGCAAGGGTGTGCTCCACGGAGTCCGTACTTATGTTATCCAGAACAAGCACGGACAGATTAGCGAGACTCACTCCGTCTCTGCTGGTCTTGACTACCCTGGTGTAGGACCTGAGCTTGCCAGCTGGAAGGACAGCGACCGTGCCAAGTTCATTGCTTGTACAGATGCCGAGGCCTTTATTGGCTTCCGTCTCTTGTCACAGCTCGAGGGTATTATCCCCGCGCTGGAGACATCGCACGCGGTGTTTGGTGCTATTGAGCTGGCAAAGACGATGAACAAGGACCAAGACATTGTCATTTGCGTGTCTGGACGTGGTGACAAGGACGTGCAGAGTGTTGCTGAGGAGCTGCCCAAGCTGGGACCCAAGATCGGCTGGGATCTGAGGTGTAAGTGACATTATTCTTTGACTACTATGAATACTGCTAACAAACTACAGTCTAAACGACGACGTTGTCTGTACGAGGTCATGATTATAGGTGTATATAGGTCGACTGTCAATGCAAAACATTCGAACAAGATTGGCCACGAAAATTGACTACATGGTGTTTGTGAAAAGTGAGGCTCAACAGACGATTCTTTTTCATGTATGATATCACACGTTGTGATATCTGATTGGCGCAGGCAGAATGCGGGCCAGATATCCGCGACGATGATGCAGGTCGGGTGGTTTTGGCAAGGATTCGAATGCAGGCAATGACTAGCCGCGGCCACGAGCGGGCCATGACGAAGAGGTAAAGACATGGCTCAGCAGAGGATATCAAAGCTAATTCTGAATGTACATGGGGTAGTCGTGTGATGGGCAACTAAGACACTACCCGTTGCACAACCCGAGAGAGTGGTGAAGCGTGGGTGAGGTGTGGTTGCGGCGGAGGGCTGGAGCGCCAATCATCGGCCCATGTGTCTCCGACTGTGCTCGGGAGTGCAGTGACGAAAGCGCATCCACAATGTCCAGCTACCAAGCCGAGAAAGGTTCCGCGCCAATCCCACACTTGTCGATAGAATCACTCCATGCCGCAGTTTCCACGTGCTGCAAGCCACCTGACCGCCCTGCGAGCACTACGCTACGCCCTCTAGTCTGCCTACAGTAGCGTCTTCTCGCTGGAAGACTGCGATCCACCAACCTGGACGTCCTGACGCCTTACCGTGACGCTGCGCCCACCCAAGCTATAGAGCTCCAGGAATTCGACACACGCCCGGAACAGCCGCACAGGGAGAGCAAGAGAGAACAGAAGCGACGGGAGAAGCTCGAGCAGCTTCGCGAGGCCGAAGAGATGAAGTTCTCGCACAGTCTGCAGTTTAATGCTGTGCCCGACTGGAGCAACCACTACATCGCCTATAGCAATCTCAAGAAGCACATCTACAGCCTTGAGACACAGCTCAACCAGAAGCAGGCGCATACCGACGCCGAGTCGTCACCACTCCTCAATGGAGATGCCGACGATCCAGACAAGGTCTTTACCAATACCCTCGACACCGAACTAGAGCGCGTCACGTCCTTCTACAAGCTCAAGGAAAATGAAATCTTCGAGGAGATGGAGGCCCTGCTCAAGGACGAGGAGTCGTTCGAGTATCACCAGGAGGAGTACAACGAGGAGAATGAGAATGCGCCGCCGGGCAAGAAGATGCGCAGCGGGAGTGTGTTCAAGGCGATTGGCTTCCACCGGCCGCGGGCCATGAGCGGGGCAAGCGGACGGTCAACAGATCACGGCGCAGATGGCGACGCATCTGGCGACGACTCCGAGGACGAAGACGCCGACGAGACTGCACGGCTTCGTAAGAAGAGCCCAGACGGCCAGCGGCGACGAAGACGGACAATCGACGAAGACATGGCAGCCTCGCACGCCTCCTCGCGACGGAAAACAAGCGTCGCATTCGAAGACTACAACGACATGGCCTTCTCCGCGCTGTACGAAGAAGGCGTGTCGTTGAAGAAACGCCTCGTTAGCGTATACGTCCTACTCTGCGAGCTCCGCTCCTTCATCCAACTAAACAAGACGGGATTCGAAAAAGTGCTGAAAAAGTACGACAAGATCATGGACCGCAAGCTCAAAAAGACCTATCTGAGCAAATACGTTTACCCCGCCTATCCCTTCCAGCAGAGCACCATGGACGAGCTGACGCGCAATCTCGAGCGCATGGAATCCGCCTACGCGCAAATCGGCACAAAGGGCGACATTGCCGAGGCGAAGCGCGAATTGAGATTACACCTGCGCGAACACGTTGTCTGGGAGCGGAACACGGTTTGGCGAGAGATGATTGGAATCGAGCGGAAAGCGCAAGCGGCGAATATCGGTATCAGCCATACACTGCTTGGACGCGATACCACGGGTGGCAAGATACGGCGGCAGGGCGACGACGTCGAGTCGGATATGAAGGAGGTGGATACGCCGATTGGGCGATACCGGTGCCCGCAATGGCTGCTCAGCAGGACGTTTTGGATCCTGCTGAGTTGTATTGCCGTGTTTGTTGTGTTGCTTGTTGTGCCTATTATGGAGGCGCCTGAGCAGCAGAATTGTCTTGCCATGGTCATCTTTGTCAGTTTGCTGTGGGCTACAGAGGTACGGATCCTGTTGGGCGATTTTGATGATCGTTTGGCTAATTACCACATAGGCTATACCGCTCTTCGTCACGTCCCTGCTGGTTCCTTTCCTTGCTGTGACGTTGAATGTCGTCCGAAGCGATGTCGAACCTCACAAGCGTCTGGAATCCAAGGCTGCAGCGTCATACGTCTTCTCTGCCATGTGGACGCCTGTCATCATGTTGCTGTTGGGTGGTTTCACCATCGCGGCTGCGCTGTCAAAGTACAATATTGCCAAAATGATGGCTACACTTGTTCTTAGCAAGGCTGGAACGAAGCCAAGGACTGTGCTGTTGGTCAATATGTTTGTGGCCATGTTTGCTAGTATGTGGATTAGCAATGTCGCAGCGCCTGTGCTTTGCTTCTCCATCATCCAGGTACGTCAACTTGTCGCAGAAAAACGTTCAAGTCAAGCTAACTTTTCGCAGCCCATCCTTCGTAATTTGCCTGCCGACTCCGATATGACCAAGGCCCTCCTCATGGGCATCGCCCTCTCCTCCAACATAGGCGGTGCCGCTTCCCCCATTGCGTCCCCCCAGAACCTAATCGCACTGCAAAACATGCACCCGGAGCCTTCCTGGGGCATATGGTTCTTCGTCGCCTTGCCCGTGTGTATCATTTCCATCCTGCTCATCTGGGTCTTCCTCCTGGCTACTTTCCAACCCGGAAAAGGGCCGTCCATTGTTCCTATCCGGCCGCTCAAGGACAAGTTCACGGGTGTGCAGTGGTTCATTACCATTGTCACCATCGTGACCATTGTCTTGTGGTGCGTCAGCCACCAGCTTGAAGCTACATTTGGTGACATGGGCGTCGTAGCCATCATACCCATTGTCCTCTTCTTCGGCACGGGTATCCTTACCAAAGAAGACTTCAACAACTTCCTCTGGACCATCATCATACTCGCTGCCGGCGGCCTTTCGCTCGGCAAAGCAGTCAACAGCTCCGGTCTCTTACACACCATTGCCCTCTCCATCACCGCTGGAGTAGAGGGAATGAGTCTGTACGGCGTCCTCGTCACGTTTTGTGCCTTAATTCTCGTCGTGGCTACCTTCATCTCGCATACCGTTGCCGCGCTCATTGTGCTGCCCCTTGTGCAGCAGGTGGGGCAGCAGATGCCGGAGCCGCATCCGAATTTACTCGTCATGGGCGCTGTGTTGATGGCGAGCGGGGCCATGGGCTTGCCGACGAGTGGGTTCCCTAATATGACGGCCATTATGATGGAGGATCAGAGGACGGGCCAGAGGTATCTTGCTGTCAAGCATTTTTTGACGAGGGGTGTTCCCGCGAGTATTATGACGTTTGGGGTTATTGTTACGGTGGGGTATGGGTTGATGCTTGCGGTTGGGTTTTAAAAAAGTCCGAAGGGGGGGCGATTGTTGTTGCGTTTATAGACTGTGTTTTTTTATTTTTGGGTCAGAGAAGACTTTATGCAGAGCATTTTTCAGCGTGGGTGGATGGCGCGAATGAGATATCGCGTTTCCTGACATGTTGGTATTGTGAGCTTGTGGTGAGGCATTGTTGTCATGCGATGTATGACTCTTGATCGAGTAGGTGATTGTTGGTGTTGGTATTGGTACCGTGCCCTGCACGGATGTGTATATACTAACATATATTGTAGGAAATTACCCTATTCCGCCCTTTCAATTGTATAACTGTCTATCAAAGGATCGTCGCAAGGAAAGTGGCCCGTCTTGCCGAGATATGCTCTACATAACTCACGTCGATTGTGGCGGTAAAAACCCTGCTCGATACCGTCTACTACAGCGTCGTACCTCAACATGGCTACCAATACCTTGGACGACTCCTTGAACAGAAACGGACTGAACAACGACCGCGGTGCCACCGCCCCCCATTACGCTGGTCTATCTTCGAGGATGTATCCACTATCCTCGTCCTTGATAATCCCAGATCCCAAAATCCTTCCTTCTCGCCTTTTGTGGGTCACGCAATCGCAGCAGAACCAGCCTCCCAGATCCCTCTTACCAAGATTGCAATCACCAACTCCTATGTAGACTGGTATGACCATTACGACTACGAGTCACCGGAGCCCTTGCTTGTTAGTAGAGCGGACGGCGGTACCGTTACCGTTGCAGATGTTGTTGAGCAGCTCTCGGCCTACTTCGCGAGTCACAGGGAAGACATACTTATGGTCTTGGAACTCTACTTGGAAAAGAAGCCATGCCGCTTCGTGGTAGACTGCAAAGTCGAATATGACCCTACTATCCTCGTAAGTGGCGAGGAAATCTCCCCTGATACGAAAGTCTTTTTTAACGGATTTTTTGGTATCACAGAGCCCGACGTGGAGCTTGGAGTAGAATTGTGTGCTGAATAAGATCTTCTAAAGAGACTGCGGTGTTAGAGACTCTAAAAATACAACTTCGAGTCGCTTCAGGATCTCCTCGCTACATTTATCTAGTGTCTCACCTGATGAGTAGAAGGCAAGGTGGGGTACCTAGGTAGCGCATGCGATATGACTCTTTATCGTGTAAGTGATTGTTGGTATTAGTACTGTGTAGGGCACGGATCTATATACTAACATGTATCATAGGAAACAACTCTGTTCTGCTCTACTCATTGTATAACTGACTATTAAAGGAATATCTTAAGGAAAGTGACGTGCCGTGCACTTATGCGTCCAAATGGTGCATAAGACATTAGATCCATGAAGGTGACCAGCCTTCCGACATCTTCGTTACCTCACTCTTCGCTCCAGAGTATGCGTACATCACCCGCCGCCCGGACAGCACTAGGTATGATAGTCATCCCATCCGCCTGAAACATCGCCTTTAACGTCGCACTACCATGGTCCCTCACCGCCTTTGCGCAGTTATCACAGATCTGATCTGGGCCGTCCGCACGTCCACAGGGGGTGTTGGACACACTGATGTTAGGAATTGTCGTCTGTGCCACCTCATTCTTCGCAGCTCTTGCGTGCTTCATAAGCATGACAAACTTGGAATATGTCGGCTCTTCTTCAGTCTTCTCTGGAAGCTCACCTCCTGCGGCCTTTGCAAAAGCAATCTGTACCCATGCGCACAAGTCTTGGTCGTTCTTGTCTCGCGCTTTCCAGAGGGCAAAGTAGTCAGGGCGATCTCTTTTGGCGTGTTCTTCATCGTAGTCAGGTTGCTGCTGATTGGGGTGAGCATCCGGAAATTGCATATGCAAGAGCTCCTCTATTGCCGTCAAGGAAGATATGGGGTGAGAATCTTGGCAGCTTCTACAGAGTCGATCACCCTTTTTGGTAACGTCATTCCGGACACATATTGATGTATCTGCATGTTTGCAATACTCCAGTTCTGCCTGTAGCGTGCCGAAGTTTGCTTGTGGTGGCGCCATTGCGTGTCCTGTTGTACGTTCTTGGTCGGGTGTTGATGAAATGAGTCTTTTCTGATGATGGAACTCGGATTTGAAAGCGATATAAGTTTTCAGGGATTCCTTTGGTGTGCTCAATATGGCTGAAGTGCTGTTCTGGTATCTATCTCTCAGTTTCATCGTTCGCGACGCTCTTATACTCGCTCTATGTCTTGACAGTCACGAATATGACTTGCTGGATACGAGTCTCTCCACGACTCGCAAGAGCAATAGACAGCAACTCAATCTGTTCGCCATGACTTGGAGAAGCAGGCGTCATGCTTTCAAGGTCCTGTCGAGTCAACGGCCTACGAAAGACTCATAGTGTCGATGACTTAGTGAACTTGAGGTAGTGGAAGACCTGCGACTGATCGATGTTTGCTATTCAGTGCTTGTCAATGGTGTGTCACACGTGTGATGATTCTAGAGAACGCAGCGTTGTTAATGAGTTTCGTGATATAAATCATTTCAACACACAGATGTCAGTGGTACCAGGAGTAAATGAGAAGAAAGGACATACGAGCGAGGCGACTGCACTAGTCAAAGCCAAATCAATGGCTGCTGTTCGTTTCTGGTGCAAGCATACTCTACATCTCGCACGAGATGTTCATTCTCAGCCCATAGCCATCTACTTGCTTGCTTCTATTAACGACTTTTCAGCCCCTCTGGAAGGGTTTCCAAGCGAGCAGTATCTAGTTAGGATTCGGTTCTATTTTGTTTCGGAAAACATTACTCCTTTTTGTCACTATATTCCGCTCTCTTCCTTCAATGCTTTACTGCAACGACATAGAACAAACGAGCCACATACAGCCTCCCCGATCCGTACCATATCCAAACGAGAAGGTAATCTGGAACGCTTGATGCCGCTTGCCTAAGGGTATCTTTCCAGTACTAGTGAACGGTATCCCGGATGATGATGTAACGGCGGGTAGACTTGTGTCGTTATCTCTTAATCCATGCGCACAGTAGGCAGTGCAGACCTACCACAATCATGATCTATGCAGCGCGAGTCATAAACCAGAGCATGGATTCGTTTTCGCAGTAGCATATGTAGGTACTCGGGGTTGGTGTTACGCAGTCGCGTCAGCCTCGCACGGGCTAGGTACCCAGGCGGGTTGTATTTGGAAGTCAGCTTACGGCCCCCACGTCAGCGCCACCCAGTGGGAGGTTCCTGCAACGCCATTTCCGAGCTCTCATGCTCCTACGTGCTACCTAGCCCCCACTAGTTTGGTATAGAGCCAACATCGACATCCAGAATGCTGGAGGATCGTTATGTATTTAGCATCTACCTTGCGGATCTATGCAGGCAGCAATTGGCCAATGGTATTGCAAGGTCTAAGCCTGAGTCCCGTTTCTGAATCGAGGAGCATAACCACGCCGTAGGTTAAAGTGCTTCCTATAAACTGTCTCTTTCTCGGTGCTCTCAATTATTCACTCGAGACTACAGGAGAGCTTAATCGAGCAATAACCATGGGTAACGGTCCTAGCTCACTACAGACAAATATCAACCATGCAGCGTACTTCTCCAACTTGAGGTCTATAGACCACGACTTGCAAACGATTACAAGTAACAGAAGTAGCTCTTCAACGCTTGTTAGCATATCTGCAGTCCAGCCAGGACAGCAGATGAAGAGTACGAACCCCAATCCTACGACGCCGTTCAATTCATCAAGCATCTTGCAAGAAGCGAATCGTGTCCATTCTTGTTCGTCGAAAGAATTTATCCGGCGTTCCACATTTTGGAAGACTGTGGGAGCGATCACTGGATTCTTTCTCATAGGTCAGTCTCGTCAATTGCATGTACCGAAGTCTTTGTTAATCTCCTCAAGCACTCTTCGCCGCGTTAGGACACTATATGCTAGTCAAGGGTCTAAATGGGACGCCTCTCGAGACTAGCTTCCTCAGCCAGACTCAGTTCTCGGCTGTCTCTATATTGTTAAGCACAATCTTCAAAGCTGCACTAACAGCCAGCATGGGTACGTGTTTCGCACAACACCTCTGGTACGTTTTGCGTGGAAAGGCGATGTCTCTTTCGATGGTCGAGATGCTGTTCGTAATTCGAAACGACTTATTCGCATTGCTCAGTCCACAAGGGATACGGAGAGCGCCTTTGCTGTTCCTTATGGCGCTTCTAATCTGGTCTCTTGGAATCGCAGTCATTTATCCACCGGGTGCGCTCACCGTAAGCGTCAGGACTCAAGAGTTTACTGAGCATCACAACATGTCTATAATGAACCCACCCATTTCACCGCAACTCGACTTTTCCGGAGACGAAAGCTTCCCTACTTTAAGCAGAGGAGACCCACTACACGGGCCTGACAAGGTCTTCTTAAACTTTCCACTAGATCCAGAAGTTCGAAAATTTATATACATCGACAAGAGTTTATCACAGATCCCTTTGGATGCCGGCATTCGACAATTCATATATAGGTCAGTTGAGTACTCCAGTAATCTAACAAAGGCTGAATCTATAGTGGACCTTCAAACCGCCTGGTATACCTCGCACAAACTATAAAGAACAACAACCAGATATCTACCTTCCCAAATCACCCAGGAGAGAATTCCACGTACAATTTGCAATTCAGAGGACCTCAATTCAAATGCACCACGTCAGAGTACAACATCACTCTTTCGGCTGAATACGATCCGAAGGAATTTGTGGTACCCATGTGGGTATCGTCATGGGACGATCAAAAGCTTATCCATTCATTGACACAATATGACATCAAAACGTTTAATGCCCACTGTAGGTCCAATAATAGCCTAGTCTGGAACGCATATGCTGTGGCGAATGAGCAGGTCTGCGAATCTGTCTCCGTACTCTACAACGTCAGCGTCACGTTTCCCAGAGGCGTCCAGACAGTAGACTATTCCATCAGCGATGCAAGAACTCTTCCGCGAAGAGTCGACATATACGATACAATCGACATTTCGGGCGCCTACGATGATCCGAATCTTAATCCGGGCAAATTGTATGGAATACAACTTAGGCTTCCATCGATACCAGAAGCACTTGAAGAATGGCACCAGAAAGTATCAGAAGCTATCCCTATTTCTAATGAGTGGGCTATTCTAGACTCATTGATGCCCTTTCTTGATAAGGAATATTTCCATTCGCAGTATCTGCCCTCAGATGCGTTATCTGTTACACGGGGTCAGGCTATACTTCTCTAGGCTCGGTCCGTACTAAGGCGAGGTAGACTAAAGCGGTAGTCCGTGAGGTATCGTATGGAATGATCAGGTGGAAAAGAGTTATCGTTGTAACCAAAA